CTTTGGTGTAGTTAGCTCCTCCTTTTTTCCTATCAAACATCTGTCGTCCTTATCTCTCCTCCTTTTTCATGTTTGTTAGTCTCTTGTAACACATCTAATCTTTGGCACATATGACCGAAGTGTGTTGCAAGTCCGTAAAAGTCTTACCAAATGTTTTTGTTTAAAAACTGAAAGTACCAGTACAGACAACTATAAGTATTATTGGGCCTGTGATGCTATGATCAAGGAGTGACGTACGTGTATTCTGTATGCAAATAGTAGCTGTGAAAGATTTTTCTTAAAGATGTTGAATTTTGAGAAGAGGAGCAAAATCAAAAGGTTTTAGTTGTACCTGTGGTAGTGACACCGTATACTATTGCACAAGAATTGTCGAGGGTGTGTTTTATTTTAAAGAGTGAACCATCTTGCGGAGCATTGGCTTTGTAATTATTATTACGTTATGCCTATTGAATGGCCCTCCACTAAACCACTGTTAGAATCCTCGACTACGGTCAAGTGGCAGCGTTTTCCAACTTCATAAAAAAAAATTATACAGATGTTAAGCGATTATAAGTGTTTGTGTACTTTCGAGAGTACTGTCTAAAACTGATAATTTGTCCCTTTTTTTACTTAGACTTCTGAAAGGCTGCGACATCAACAACTTTAACCAAGCAAGTTTTGCTGGACTAACCAGTCTGAGACATTTGTAAGTACCCCCATATATCAATGTCTTGTTTCCTTTACTTTATTGCCTTAAGGGGATTTTTTAAAACTTGGTCTGTGCGGGTTTTGTAGGGCTTTTTTTTAGAAACTACGCCAACACACTGATGGTAATTCAGTTCTTGGGGAAAAACCAGGCCTACAGACAGAAGTGTCAGAAAAGAAATGTTTGACCTTCCAGTGGTGGCCTCTACTGACTTTTATTTTAAACTTTTAGATTTAACAACTCCCTTGATACATCCCACAGTTTAAAGAACTCTACGAAGGGAGACAAATGGCAGTATTGATTTATGAAATAGGCTAGTAGGCGAAGATCCAGGATTTGCAAAGCGGACACTCCCACTTTCTCTACGTCTGAGACATCGGCTTCAAACAACCTTTATCTAACTTTTTTTCTTTATTTTAAATTATATATACACATGTATATGTATAATCTATATATATTATATATATATATATATATATATATATATATATATATATATATATATATATATATATATATATATAAGATGTATATATATATAAATATCTCGTCAAAATAATCAAAGTGAAGAAACTTGCATTTTCCCGCAGGTTAGTGAATTTTTATCAAATTTTTATTTTTCGGCTCAACACCTTTCACGCCCAATAAAGAACTCATTTCTGAGTGGATTTTTCTGAAAAACGTTGATTAAAGGCACAAAAAATGTTAATTTTCAGTTATCACGGACTCTTAAGCTAAGGAAATAACTACTCTTTGGCGGCCATTTTCTCACTAATAATTTTATCTCTGAAAACATGTTATCCCCACCTCCTTCTTTCGCAAATATCTCGACTTGTATTCAAGATAAATAGATATTTTTTTCATCCAAATAAACACAAGTGAACAAGCTTTAAGATTATACCAATAACTCTACATGCCCAAAAATTGACGAGAGCCTGATTCCACCTCGCTACCTCACATATTTTTTTTTAGGGAGGGGGTTGGGGTTTGTTCGTTTGTTTGTTTGTTTGTTTGTTTGTTTGTTTGTTCTTGTTTTTGGGGGGATTTTTTTTCATGGGGTGGGATGATGGAGGTGGGGTTGTTGATCAACCAGACATGCATATTTTAGACCCGTCTCCATTAGACAAATAATTATAGCACCTGGATTTTTTAGCTTGAAATAGAAATCCGGCAGACGTGAGCAGCGTGGAATGTGTCGTCTGCAGCAGATGTCAATGACCGCCCCGGGGGACACCACAGCGTGATCTTAGACGGAAGTGACGAAAACATTATTACGTCAAGTCTGTTCTCTTCCGAGAGGATACGATAATGGTGTCTTTGTATCTAGACTTGACGCGATAAACGAAATCTGTTTCAGTATTGAATTTGCAAGGACAAAAATTTGTTATAAGTATATTCTTGGGGAAAAAAGGAGCTGGAGAGTAAAAGAATACTTACTGTAACCCGAAGAACCATGACAATCATTGATCTGACTCGAGAATAAAACCTATATTTAACCAGAAGATTAAAAAGTAGGATCCCGATATAAGTAAGAAAGAAAAAAAATAAAATAAACGTGCTGTACTGGGGGAAATCAAGAAGTAGCATCCAGAGCACTGCTTGCTTATTCTTGATAAGTTTAATTAGTACAAAAACCTGAACGCTAATTTAGGTGGAACGGTCGTAACATTGGACCTTTTGCAGCTGAGAACTGTCCAACATCTATTTCAAAATAAAAAGTGTAAGTTTTAGATATGTGTGCTTTATGTTGATGTTAATATTGGATGATCATGATGATGCTGATTAGAAGGAGGAGGAGGAGGAGGAGGAGGAGGA